TTCGTAGAACCATTCTCCTGACATAAATTTGCGTTTGTCTTCCTCTGGGACGGCTTTCTGCAGCTGTCTGGGAATCAGATGAGACAGAGGTTCAACTTGGGTGAGAAAAATTAAAATCATCAACAGCTCCCAGCAACATGCATCTAACCTAATATATTGTCTCACCTCAGCATGGTCCTTTGGACAAATACCATGCATTCCACAGGCCGCAAATTAGTTTACTCCATAAGCCATCAAGGACAGAAAGCACGGTACTTATCACATCCGTTGTTGTTTGCTCACAAAATGTTGAATTCTTTTTATGTGCAAATGTGTCAGGCAGTTCTTTGAGTACTAGGATCATAAACTGAGCTTTCCAAATGACGGTACCTCATTGCACTTTATTTTTTTATTATGTTACACAGCTCTCCTGTATGAGAGCCTCTTAAATCAATAACATTCCTTATGACCAAAGAGTTGGGACAAACTTTCTTCATTGACTTATACACAAAACTGTCTTGAATACTGACTCTGTTTGCTTTGCAAATATTAAATCTCTCTTAATGGCTGCTTCTTGGGTACTATCAATGTTCCCAGTAGCTGTAACCTGTTAAGTAATTCAGACACTAATGATAAGGAGTTTTATGGATTGATTCCTTAAGAAAAACAGCTCAAGAGGTCAAAACTAATAATTATACTATGACTTGTTTGAGAGGTGGTTAATGTTAAATGCTACAAATAGCTAACATTTCAAAACAACCATAATAAAGACATTGTGAGCATTTGTACTGATTCAAAATTGTTTGATTAAAATCATGTGTTTAGTAGCAACCATTGGAACACATCTTTGCTTTTGAAGGAGGGGAAACTATGTTGGTCATGTGAAAAGGCCAAGACAATTATTCCACAAGGGTAGACTTAATCCTTTTAAAAGGTTGAGTACGGTTGAGGCTGAACACAGGGAAATCACCCAGACATGGCCAGATTCTGCATTCTTCCTTTCATGTAGACTACCAGTCTCCATTCAAAGCATTAAACACAAGAATAAATAGTTTGCTAGTGCAATGGCGTTCATGTGGGTGAACCCCCTCAGTGTTTGTCTTTGGATTAATGCCCTGTTTTTTCATGTTGTATTTTATTAGATATGTCTAAAATTACTGTCATTCTGTGCATTTGCAAAAGTTTGTGGTTGGCAAGATTAAATTTTTTTTAATGTTTTTGTCTCTTATGCTCACAAAGAGAATAAAAAAATGTATTTGGTCAAACATACAGTAAAACTGTATTATTGTGAAATATTATTACAGTTTAAATAAAATCTATTTTAATATATTTAAAAAATATAATTTAATCCTGTGATGGCAAAGCTGAATTTTCAACAGGCGTTACTCCAGTCTTCAGTGTCACATGAAATCTTTGTAAAATGCTGATTCGATGCTCAAAAAACATGCATTTCTTTTTTATCAATGGTGAAAACAGTTGTGCTGCTTTATTTGCAAAAAACTCTTGATTCAGTTTTTCAGGATTTTTTGATGGATAGAAATTGCATTATAAATGTCTTTACTGTCACGTTTGATAAATTTAGTATTCATTATTATTAACACCAAACTTTTGAAGAGTAATGTATATTTTAAGTTAAATTGTATGTGAACGTACAAGAGAAAGTGTATTTCAGATTTACTAATATGTTACTCACCTTTTAGCTTTTTACAGTTTATTTCACATTAATTAATAAATCAGAGTCAGTTTTTTTTTTTTTTAAATATGAATATTCAGTGTAATCCCTCAGTTGATGTCATAAGATACCATTTATAATAATTATACAAAAATTCAACTTAAAATTGATTTAAAAAAAACGCATATCACACTGCTGCCACTGCTTGAGATCAGCAATCTTTTATATTAAGAGAGGGGGTCATTTAGCCTACAAATGAAAGTTTGATTATGCTGGCTAAGCAATCTTACTTGATTCGTTCCTCCTCTGCTTTCTTCAACTCAGCATCCCTCTTTAAAACTGTCATGATCATCTCCTGCTCCTCCTCGCTCAGGTGGCTCAGGTCTATCATGATGACCACTGTTCTTCTCACAGTTGGGGACTCTAGTTCTGACACTCACAGAGTCCACACTGCTATCTGTTGTTCTTCCTGAATCACCTTCATTTCATTATGCACAACTACGGCACCTGCAATCAGCACACCAAAACATCTGCGATTCTCCATTCGATTCATTCACATCAGATCAGGTTTTCTATGAAAATATAATAATTAGTATTATTCAGTCACTTATTTAATGGAAAGGACAGATGTAGCAACCCAATTTGTATGCTGAATTTGATGTAATTTGGAATGAAATGTGATTCTAAATAAGTGCACAATGAAGCTGAGTGAGAGCCTGTTTAGAGAACGCTGAGATTAGACAAAACATGTGACGGCGCTGTCAGTTGACCATGAGAAGGGGCAGACCTTTAGATCGAGCACATTTAAAGCAAATGGTGAACTTTTACATTGAACATAAATTGCATAATGCTGATCCCATTTAAAAGTCATGTCAGATAATGGCTTTGATATGTTCTATTCAAATTATTGGTTTATTTCTATGCACAGAAAAATAAGAACCCGCTTGAATTAATTTGTTGAAAAAAATGTCCTTACATGATTAATGCTTAAGACACCCGCGTGTCATGTTAACTGTGCAAATATTTGAAAACAGCTCACTGAAACACTATTTACTCTGGGTTACACCTGGATCAAAACAAGCCTCAAAGAAATGACAAAAGCAGCCTAATACATAACATTATACAAACAACAAGCGAACAATAAAATAGCATTGAAATGTTAATGCTTTACATTAGTGAGGAGCTTAATATGGAATGGAAATTCTGTACGTATTCTCTTGAGAGTCTGACTCAAATCCGAAATTATGAATGTGTTTGGAATGATTAAACAAAACAAACCATGTGTCAAGAGCACATGAGTAATGGATTTAACATGCTGACTGATCTGCATTATTTGATGCTTTAATGTCGCATCCTGAATCCTGTTTCTTGTCCAAAGGTCTTTTGACATCAAATGAGGCTCTTCTTTGCAAATTTCATGAGGCTGGATTCAATTGAATAAGTTCTTGGTAAACAAACATTTACATATAAACTATAAATTGCACTTTTTAATAAACAGGACAAGTAACAATAAATTAAAGTGGTATTTTTTCTGGATATGTAAAATAATTGAAGCACCTTGGAGCTTTAGGAGTCCATCTGTTGACGTTTTAGACATGTAGCCTAATTGAATTTTAAAAACAGGATAAAGTGGCGTATCCCTGTCTGCAGTGATAAAATCACTGCTGTCTGGGGATTCATGTGCTCTTTTTCTATTCTGTTTTCTCTTCAATTCATTATTCCTCCGTATTGCATTTATATGTAAACGGCATAAATGCATTGCATTAATCAGTGATACATATACACGAACTCACGAGCAGGGAAGGCAAGAACCTGTCACAACTACTTTTCTTCACATTACAATCATTTCGATAATAAAAACCAAACGGAGATTAGTAATCCCGTTTTATAAATACAGCGTAAATACAGCTTTATATGAATTATGTCAGTCTATCGATCGCAACACTTTACTTTTCATGTAACGTTAGTTTACTCGACACCGAACACAGTGACAACCTTGAAGAATGTATTTCGTTAAACTTTAGAGGCTCGTGTATATATTCTGTAGTGGCCAAACAATCTTCACAAACATAACCACCGGTATATGTCGATATGAAAGGTTTCAGCTCACCTTGTTTCCGTGGCAGAACCTCTGGAGCGCCTCTCTGGCGCGCGGTACAGAACATCTTCACTGCATGAGCGACGCGTCTCTCAGGGCTGGACGGAGGCTTGACGTCGGCTTCCAGTCGACCAATCAAAGACTGAGTTTGAGCGGTCAACCCGACGCGCCAACATAGAACGCTCCAATCGGAAGTATACGGCGTGCGTATTCCTCGCGTGACGTTAACGCATTAAATGCGTTTCCTGAAGAATGTAGATGGACAGTATAATGAAGGCCCTATACGCAAACATTGAAATAGTTTATATTTACACGCGTTTTAAATTTGTTTTATTTGTATTTTTACATTTATGTACGAGAATTGTAATGAATAGTCTACTTAGGCCAGCCAAGTCTGTTCTCATTAATTACAAATCCACTGAATGATGGATAGCCTACATAACCATCTTATGTAAAACCTATCTGCATAATGATATTAATACGTTATTTGTGATTAGTAATTCAGAGTCAGCCAGGGTCTGTGTAAACAACATTATTTCAGAAGTCTTCCGTTTTTTCTGTACTGCTGTTATACAATGATTCGTTTAGATTCGTTCCTAATTTGGTTAGTGAATGCTGATATACAACAGCACTGGGACTTTTGATTTCATCACTTAGCTTGTCTGTTTTTGTTCCAGACAGTCTGTGCGTCAATGATGGGGACTTTTCAGTTTTTCTGTAGGTTACATACACCAGTAGGTGGCGACAAATTACTGTGTTTATGAGTGAATCATTGAATCATTTACCAAATCATTTACCAGTTTGTTCAAAACAGATTCAGGATCACAACATGTCTGTGTGTATGTATTACTTTATTTCCTGGTACGTTCAAGGAAAATAAATATAAAAATGTCTTTTTGATTCCGTCAACAAGTTTATATTAGAACAGGTTTAACCGGGTTTATGTTTAACAAGTAGGAGCAAGGTTTTAAAACGGGTAGATTTCAGTATAAAGAGGCAAGCGAGTACAAACTCTCAGATCTATCAAACATTTTTATACCTCCGTTAAGCTTCAGAGTATTGAATCTATCACTTGAGTGAACTGTACCAATTAGATTAATAGAATACAAATCATTTCAGGTTCCTATTGGTAGATAAGCTATGTTTAGGTGTATCTGTAAGTCATAAAGACTAGTGCATGATTAACCATCATGTCAAGCTGAAAAAAACTAATCCATGACCATAAACCAAACATACACAAGATTTGTGGAAGCTGCACTTTATTTGAAAAAGAAAGAGTTCACTAATTGTTCTTACATCTTTTAAATACATAAACAAACAAAAAAAGATTCGTGAGGACAACACAGAAATGATTCAGTAAAACTTAGGTCAGTTCCGATTTGATTGAATTGCTTTCATATTTCAAACCATCCTTAGCCAACCCCTGGATGAACTGCCTACATGATTATATGTATATATACATTAAAGCACCGATCAACAGTGCTCGAACCGTCTCCCAGTCAGCGTTTCTCATATTTTACACTTCAAATTTACAGTGATATCAATAACCCTGTCCGTGACCAATAGCTAGAGGAGCGTCCAGCTCCCGTTCAGTGTTCCTGGACTTTTAGAGAGCAGGGTGCCTAACTTGACGAGAAGTCTGAAACATTCAGATCAGGGGCAGCCAGATCTTTACGGTCCGTGTGAAAATGATGGCATGCCATGCATAATGCAGAACACCTTCCTTCCCAAGTGCAACACCTCACAATCACGGAGGAAGTGCTTTTCTACTCCAACAAATATCTCATTGCAAAACCCCTAAGCACAGTATCGACTAAACAGTATAACAAACCATTCACTAATGATTACCCTCCCAATAGCCTTGGGCTGCAAACATTTCATCTACGGGAAGTTGTTCTAGACATAAAACTTAGAGAATAGTTGGTGCTCTATCATTTAGCTTACAGGTGTATTTTTCACATAATATCTATTTTAAAAGTCTAAACCTTCATTATACAATCCAACACCCAAGAATAATGTTGAATTATTATTTATATTTTCCCCCGATGTATTTCGTAAACTCTCCTGTTTTATTTTTTAGGCTTTAATTATAAATAAACACAAACGACACTCAAGAAAGGTCTACCGGTGAATACAATTAAAGTTGAAACTAAAAAATAAAGTGTAAAACAAAATTTACTGTTACTATTTCATAACACGTACTATGTCAGATGCTGAGTTATACTCCGATTTAGGTTGACGTTCGCCACAAGACCTCTCATCAGAAGCTCCCGGTCGAAGGAAAAAAAACAACCTATAGTGGGAAAATCAAACTATAGCTTCTCAGAACACTAAATATCCAAGTCTTTCAATGCCCTTACCTACCTTAACAGATTACAAAATGTATGAGGAATCCCTTTATGGGTCCAACAGCAGCATCACTTGACATCTTAAACAAATTACGAAATGATTGCAGTATGCTCCCAGTCTTTCAACACACTTGGTTTACATCTTTGACGTCGAGTATGTTGTGGGATCGGCCCTCTGAAGAGCATCCCGGCACAGAGGACAGAGCTTAACATCAGGTTTGACATCAGGGAGCAACTTCATTTTGTGTTACATAAACTGCATCTGCAAAAAGAGACAATTAAATGTACGATTAAAAAGATGCTTTAAACAACAGTGTGTTAAGTTAAGACAAGAAACAGTGTTCGCGACCATACCGTGATACATTTATGAATGAAACCTGGAACTGGGAACTGATTGGATAGTGAAGAGTCTGTATGATAGGTTGGAGGAGAGGGGTTAAAAAATAAGAGGGTTTGATGTCAACCGAAAAGGAGAAACGTTTTAGAGGTGTTACGGAAAGTTGCAGGGTTTCTACTTCATGACTTTTCCAGTTTGGGGTTACTGGATATGTAAAATCATTTTATACAAACTGTACTCACAGAAAATGAAAAAGTGATGAAATATCTTGAAATATCTGTGCATAACTAGAAAAAAATATATTCCATATAGAAATCTCCATGATTTTTAAAAATGTATTATCAGGGCTGAATATCAGTTTTAAAGATGAATTCAGTCATTTATTCTTACTGTTATTTTACATATAACTAAATAAATTGTTGAAAAATAGATTATAACATAGAAATTAAATATATATATATAAATTAAACATATTACGTGAGAATGGTGTCATTTTTTTTTTTATTATTATTTTGAAATGTAAAACACTTTTTAAAAGTAATGAAATATCTTCAAATTCCTGTTTAACTAGAAAAAAAAATTCCCTAAAGAAATCTCCACGGGTTTTTCAAATATATATTCAGGCATGAATATCACTGTTTTAAAGGTGAACTAATTTATTGTTACTGTTATTTTACATATAATTAAAAAAATAGAAATTAGGATAGAATTAAATGTTTAATATATACTTCAAATGAAACATACAAAGAATAGTGTCAGTTTTATTTCTATAAAAATTGTAAGATTTAAAATACTTTTTAAAAGTGATGAAATATCTTAAAATATGTTTTAGAAAAAACAAATATACATACGTACAGGTGCAAATTAGAATATCGCGAAAAAGTTACTTTTTTTGTAACATTTCAAAATGTGAAACTTTCATATATTCTAGATTCATTACATATAAAGTAAAACATTTTTTAAAAATTGTTTTAATTTTAATTACTAGAGCTTACTGCTCATGAAAGTCAAAAATTCAGTATCTCAAAATATTAGAATATTTACATTTGAGTTTCATTAAATGACCAAATGACCACTTTTTTACAATATTCAAATTTTTTTATGCACCTTTATGTGTGTGTGTGTATATACAGTGGGTACGGAAAGTATTCAGACCCCCTTACATTTTTCACTCTTTGTTATATTGCAGCCATTTGCTAAAATCATTTAAGTTAATTTTTTTTCCTCAATGTACACACAGCACCCCATATTGACAGAAAAACACAGAATTGTTGACACAGAAGACAATCATTGACACCCTCCACAAAGAGGGTAAGTCACAGAAGGTCATTTCTGAAAGGGGTGGCTGTTCACAGAGTGCTGTATCGAAGCATATTAAATGCAAAGTTGACTGGAACGAAGAAAATGGGTAGGAAAAGGTGTACAAGCAACAGGAATGACCGCAAGCTTGAGAATACTGTCAAACAAAGCCGATTCAAACACTTGGGAGAGCTTCACAAGGAGTGGACTGAAGCTGGAGTCAGTGCATCAAGAGTCACCACGCTCAGACGTCTTCAGGAAAAGGGCTACCAAGCCACTTCTGAAACAGAAACAACGTCAGAAGCATCTTACCTGGGCTAAGGAGAAAAAGAACGGGACTGTTGCTCAGTAGTCCAAAGTCCTCATTTCAGATAAAAGTAAATTTTGCATTTCATTTGGAAATCAAGGTCTGCAGTCTGGAGGAAGACTGGAGAGGCACAGAATCCAAGCTGCTTGAAGTCCAGAGCAGTTTCTGAAGTCAGTGATGATTTGGGGTGCCGTGACGTCTGCTGGTGTTGGTCCATTGTGTTTTATCAAGTTCAAAGTCAATGCAGCCGTCTAACAGGAGATTTTGGAGCACTTTATGCTTCCATCTGCTGACAAGCTTTATGGAAATGCTGATTTCCTTTTCCAGCAGGACTTTAGCACCTGCCCACAGTGCCAAAACCACTTCCAACCATGATATTTACTGTGACCATGATATTACTGTGCTTGATTGGCCAGCCAACATGTCTGACCTGAACCCCATATGGAATCTATGGGATATTTTCAAGAGAAAGATGAGAAACAGTCGATCCAACAATACAGACGAGCTGAAGGCTCAATAGTGCCTCAGCAGTGCCACATTCTGATCGCTTCCATGCCACACCTCACTGAGGCTGTCATTTGAGCTAAGAGCCCAGACCAAGTATTGAGTGCATAAATTAACATACTTTAAAAACTTTTCTGTTTTGCAAATCCTTTTTTTGATTGATCTTAGAAAATATTCGAATATTTTGGGATACTGGATTTTTTACTTTCATGAGCTGTAAGCACTAATCATCAAAATAAAATGTACCCAATTTACCCAAGAATGCACCCAATTCTTCAAAATTGATTTTTTTTTTAACTTTTAAACATTCTTTTAGGATTTTTAAAAGACATTTAACGGGACAGTTCACCCAAAAATAAAAATTCTGTCATAATTTACTTGTCCTCAAGTTGTTCCAAAACGGTATGACTCTTTTTTTTTAAACCCAAAAGAAGATAATTTGTAATTATCAATTAATAATTTCCATATAATTTTTTTTTCAATACTGTGGTAGTCAGTTGTGACCAGCAAGTGTTTGATTACCCACATTCTTCAAAATATCTTCTTTTGTGTTCAACAGCTCATACAGCTTTGGAATAACTTGAGGTTTAACTGTTACAATTCATAATGAATGACTTCTGGCCAACTGATCCACAACAACACTCTAACATATTACCTCATGTTCCTTCTGTTGTCATATTTTGAGTTATTACATGACATGACATTACATGAAAGCAACATATAATAGCATGTAACACTAATATGACAAACTTTAGAGTTTTGGAACAAATGTTACCTTCCTATTCGTCATCATATTTAATACCATAAAGAACAGGCAAAGAACGGTTTTTGCTCAAATTTTTGAAACTGCATCAATATATCCACAAGGTGTCAGTATACACACATCAATTAACAACTCAATGTTTTCTTCCAGGCTCCTACAGCCAACCGAGCGGTTAGGAACACGGATGAATGATTGGATATTGAATACATATTATAATTTTTTGACAGTGTAATTGAATTATAATTATATATAGTTATTCGATTTTACAAATAAACGAGAAACAGAACGAATGCTAAAAATTGTTAAAATATAGAGTATTTATAGAAATAGAATGCAATATTTTCATAAATATATTCTGTTTCATGTTAGTATACTTCACAGTTTCAAACCTATTGTTCCACCCTTCACAAAGTCCTTACTAAAACCAAATGACCTTTGTTCAGTGTTATTCATTCATTTCTAATAATGAGAACCCATAACAGGTGCAGACATTGTATGTGCTTTTATGAGACAGTTTGTCAGTTCTGCTGATCTGCAGCTTAACTGCTGGATCTCTGCTTTCTCACTAATGAGATCTGCTCTGAGTGATGCAATACCGCTGCTTAAGAAAATCAAACACAATTTTTATACATGATTATTATTATTCCCGAGTCTGCAATAAAGCATTCAAACCTTGCCAGCTTCAGACACACCACAATCGGTAATACAAATCTCAATAGCTCTTATAACTCAAATCGAAATGGTCATTCTTTCCTGCAATTCTGTCTGCATTTCATTCAGTATATGAACAGAAGAAAGCAAAAAGGATACCAATAAAAGAAAAAGGCAGTGTTACAAGTAATCATATTATTGTTTGATAGACCTAGTGAAAAATTCATGCATTTTT